TAGAGCACCAAATCAGCATACTAGAATGATTTATGAAGAATCATGTGACACTGAAGACTGAAAGTAATGGCTGCTATAAATTCAGCTTTGCCATTACAGGAATAAATTACTTTTTAAAATATATCAATATAGGTAAGTTGTTTTTTAAATTACTGTTTAATTACTGTTTTACTATTATGTATTTGATAAATAAATGCAGCCTTGTTGAGAGCATAAGGGAGTTTTTCTCAAAAACAGAAGTTTGACTTTTGAACGGTACAATATATTTATAAAGTAACCTAAACTAATAGATGCTGTAAAAACAAAATTTTCATTGTTCGTTCATGATACTAATGCCTTGCATTTAAACTGATCAGTTGTCCTAGGGGAAATTACCATTTTACCGAATGTCGCATCAGGGAAGAGGTGCGAGTCTGTTACTTCCACTGAGCAAACACATTCACAGTACAGTTAAAAATTTTCATGCACGCTCAACATGCATAAATTCAGGCCTCCCCATGTGATGGTTGCACTGAAACACACACTTCGTCTTCTATTCTCATAATTAAAGAGGACCTGAGTCAACAGCTGCAGGGAACTGAAGGGTGGCGTCTGTGTGAGTGATGCATATTGATTGTGTGTGTGTCAGCAGTAACAGAAGGAGCTGACTCAAGCTGCATGGTTTCTTTTTGCCTTGTCATCTGTCTTTGTAACCAGGGTGATGCCACCGTTGTCACCCAACCCCACACTGTGACTGGATGTCGCACAGTAATTTGAGGCCACAGTGATGACTAACAGACAGAAAGAGAGAATAAAAAACTGAGGATGGATGTAAAATCTGTCTAAACAGAGGCAGATGAGACGGACATTGTTTGTGAGTGTTTGCGGTGAGCAATAGACTATTACCACGTCTGTTACCGTGAGAGAGCGAGAGATCACTTGTCTTATTTACTATCACTGTATGTGTGTGTTAATACTGGTGCAACATATGTTCAGGAGGGGAGAGGCCTGCAGGGTGGAGACCAGCCTTCTGTCACCCTGGCAACGCTCCTGCAGTGCCAGCTTTGTGTGTGTGTGTGTGTGTGTGTGTGTGTGTGTGTGAGGTTTTAAATGAAGGGAAGTCCTGTGCTGGGGGTGATATAGAAACCGAGAAGAACAGTGGGTGGGTTTGTTGCACCACTGAGGCTGTGCGTATTGCAGTGCGCTCTGCAGGTTGCTTGTAGTGTGCAGGGTATCGACTCTGAGGGCTGGGCCGATCGCTCCCTGCTGTCAGAACTAGTAGTATCACGCCCCGGCCCCCAAGTGATGCTTGTTGGTCGAGCTGAGCAGGCAGATCTGACAGATCATGAATCAACCAACTCCCTCGTTCTTTCTTATACATAGACCCTGCTTGAACATACTGTATTTGGAAAGATTGTCTTTCAGAAAGTTCTGCACATGAACTGTATCTTGTATGTATTTTTTACTAAATTGATGTTTTTCACCAGCTCTCAGCTCAGTTTTAGCCCATTTTAACCCAGTAAAGTCTGACATATAAAATCATTGTCAGAAAAATCTAATGTTTTGAAATAGAACATCTTATTAAACCTGTAGACAAAATAAGGTAACACTTTATTTTAAGGACTAATTTTTACTGTTAACTAGCATCGTAGTTAATAGTGAGACTTGGTCCCCAAACGAAAGTGTGATCCAAAATAATAAAACAATTAAAATCTGCATAGATTTTTTTTGTTGAGTGTCATATTTGAGACATCAGGCTTGAATGGCTCATAAAGTGTCACCTCAATTTTATTCAAAGTCTCAACCTGAGCAAAAATATGCAGTTTAGTGCAGTTGCTGATATATGACCCAAAAAGCAAGATGAAATTCTGAACTTGTAATGTAAATCTGTGAGCTCTTGTATTACAGATTACTATTATTTCATAAATATTACATATTTTTGATCATGTTAAGGGTGTATTCACACCAGGAAAGTCCACTAGTTCACTTGCTTTGGTCCGGACCAAATACAATGTTGATTTTTATTTTTTTTGGTGTGGTTCGCTTTCACACTGACCTTTTTGCAAATTAACCAGAAACCGTAAACAAAACCACACGTGTGCTTAAGGTCATCCATTCATTGGTTCATCCATTCAACTGTACCAGAGTTCGTTTGGAAGCGGACCGAGACCACCTCTTCAGCTGGGTCTCGGTACGGTTGTTTGGTCCGCACCCAAGTGCGATTTCTGTATTCACACCTGCCCAAAAGATCCGCACCAAAGGGGGGGAAACGAACTTGAGTTTGATTCAGTCGAACCAAACAAGACCGGTGTGAATACACCCTTAATCATTTAGAGGCCTTAGAAATTTGCATATCAAATTTGTTACAGTATAGGGTTAACAAATTTAAATCCTTTTTTTTTTTTCTTCATAGTGTGTAGACCTTTTTTTAGCCGCCTTAAACAAGTAAAAATGTAGGGCGGGATTTGATTGGATCATTGCATCGTTGTCGTTTGCCATTTAGGTTGCTGGATGGGAGGGATTATTGTCCCGCCCTCATGCCAGTGCACATGTCATCAGAGAAGAAATATTGCGAGGGCAAGTCAGTGTTTTTGATTAAGATTATGCGGGTATGTGAATTGAAAAACTAATGATGTGCATGCCATGGACAAACCATTTATAATAAACACTGCAATATTCCATAAAAAGGGAATTGTCAATTTTGATTTCGTAGTGACTTTAAGGATTGCTGCTGAGCGTTGATGGATTTTGCTGTTTGAAGTGACAACTGCAACCCCCCCACACGCACTCTGTTTCAACCTCCCTACTCCCCTTCCCCCCCCCCTTTTGCCCTCTCTCTGCCCTCTCTCTCTATTGAATAATTGATCAGCTGAGCTTTGGATGAGCAGTGGTGTGCTTCAGTCTGCATTCCACAACCTTAGCAAAATCACCTGCCATGAGAGTGAAGAATGTGTGTAAAGGAACGAAAGAACTGAACAGAGAGAGAGGGAAAAAAGAATGAAAGGAAGGGTATATAAGGCAGATCGCTCTCAAGCCTTGACTTTCAAAGGGTGTGTCCAGTGCCAGTGTATGTGTAAGAGTGTTAATGTGCCCTTGTGTGTGTTTGTGTGAGAAAAGCATGGTGAGCAGCATTTTCTTGTCCATATTAAGCCGGATTAGAGTTGGAGTGAAGCACTGAGTCCAGCCTGATCCTCCGATCAATACCACTGTGCTCCTCCCTCTGCGCTTTCCTCCATCTCTGTCATTATTTACTTGTTCTCTGTTTCTCTCTTTTTCCCCATCTTTCAGTTTATGAATCCAATCAGTTTTCTCTACATTTCAGTGTCTGTTCAGACTATAGTCATCCTGAATTGTCTCAAATAATGAATAAAACCTATTAAAAGATAAGTACAAATAAATTAATTAGCACAAAACATTAACTTATTTTACGCAAATGACAGGCTGACTATGATTATCAGTCTTGTTACATGACCATATACCAAACAAATGAACACAAATATTGAATTTATTTGAAATTAGAAAATTATTTTCTTTTGTGAAGAGAAAGGTAACTTTGGTCAATTACACATCTTTATTCAAAAGCAATTGACTGTGCAATACTGCAACTGACCAATCAGAATCAAGGTTTCCAGAGAGCTGTGTACCGATAATATAAATTATTGGTAATTATATATAGTCTCGCAGAGACTCTCTACCTCTCTTTTCGTCTGTATTATATTACTGTAGATCAATAGAGCTACTCAAACAGAAGCAGAGAGCCTCAGCTGCTATTAAAAGCTCTTCCTCTCTCCCAGACTACCAGCATCTATCAAACCCAGACAAAAGATTTACTGCACACAATAACCTGAGATCAGCTCATATCGTTCCTACGCACAATGCTGATCTTCGAACAGGATCATATCACAGATACTGCAGTTCTAATAGAGATGTAGACATGGGGTGGTCAATCATGTGAGGGTGAGAACGCTGATCTAGCACTTTGTTGCTCTTCACATTTCACATTAAATGTAAAAACGATCAATCGATCAGCACTGATATTTGAAGATGTTTTATGCAGGCAGTGTTTTAAATGTTTCAGTAATGAAAATACTTTTAATTCAAGACACGCATGACTGCACGGTTAAACTGAGAGGGAACCACTTTGTATCTGTATGAGTGTGAGAGAAAGATTGGAGTGTGTGTGTGACTGGCCTTGAAGCTGTATATCTTCTCTCTCATCATTTGCAGATTTACAGCTGTAATGAAGCACTGGGAGGAGAGAGGAACTGACCTTCCAACCAGCAATCTCTTCTCATTCCGACAAAACCAGACACAAACCTTTTACCTGCAGACTCTTTTCTCACACACATTTGTGCATGCCATCATTTCCCTTTGGCATGTTCTTTCTCTTTGTATCATTGTCTCTCTCACATACATTCGATGAGTACTGAATAGCTCTTTTCAGATCCTGAGAGCTTAATTTGTTCTTTAAAGATGAACGTTGTCTACACTAGTTCTGTCCTCCAGAGGAAAAGTGGGACTAATGATGGTTTTACGACCGACTACTCATAGCAGCCCTCTGCTTTAAGAGCATGAAGCCAGGGGTCGGTTTCAGATCCAGAGACTGGAGACAGTCTGTCAGGCAAATAGTTCAGATCTCATGTTCAAAAAGCTTTCATGACTTTACCAGATTAATACTTTATTTTCTTCATCTTATTAGTGTCTTTCATCCCTCTAGATAGATGGAGGGCAAAGCATATTTAACATTTCTTCATTGAGACCGTTTGAAATTAATTAAAAAACCCAGTGAGAGACAGATCTCATTAATTTTCTGATTGGACAGACACCGCTCCACCGTGCTTTAGCGGCCCCAATTGGCATTTTATAAGCGCTCTAAAGTCTGCATATTTGTCAAAGCCAGGGCTAAATTTAACCTAATCTTTGTGTTGTGGTATTGGATGTGAGAGGCGCTGTGCTGTGCTTTCAGGGTGACTGAATCAGATGCTTTCAAATGAATAATAACTGTTTTTTTCCCCATGCAGAATTTTCAAGCTCTTCCGAAGCAGCCACTGCAGATTTCTAAGGAACAGTACATCCAAGGTAAAGTATGTGTGTAATCTGACACTCAAGTGTGTGTGTTTATAAAATATATATATAGATAGATATATAGATAAGCGATAAGCTACCCGTTGAAAGTTTGGAACCAATGCGATTTTGGACTTACTACTAGTCCAAGAATTCTGAAAAAAAAGTGTCTATAATGGTTTCCACAAAATATTAAGCAGCACAAATGCTTTCAAAATTGATAATAATAATAAAAAATGCTTCTTGAGCAGTGCACCAAATCAGCATTTTAGAATTATTTCTGAAAGGGCTTTATGCTTCCATTGCACATACTAATAGGCCTACAAGCTTTAATATATAGACATACCAAGTTTTACTGAGTTTTTTAAAAATCTGCATAACCCTTTACAAATCATATTTCACCCAAACTCCTTTGCTCTTTCTCTGTCAGACTGGTGCAATTACAATTGACCTATCGGTAAGCCCCGCCCCCCTTAGTTACTGTTGCTACCTCGGACAAACAAACGGAGTTGCTCACTAGCTGTGTCTCATTTAGAAGGCTGCGCCCTCCGGAGGTCGCATTCGAAGGCTGCATATGTCATCGAGGCTGTCTCATTTCAGAAAAGCAAGTAGGACACTCCGAATGCGACCTTCTTTCGCAGCAATTCGGAGGATGCATGAGGTGTATCCTTCGCTGCTACAGATAACCCACAATTCTTTGTAAACAACCATCGTTTTTGTCGCCGTAAACAACCATCGTTAATTTGAAAAATTAGAGCAACGACGCTCTAAATGTGTTGACATAGCAACGTGATACTTCCTGTTTCCTTTTCCGCCCATCCTACGAAGGCCGTCTCGTTTAATTCTAGGTTGAGGACACTCCGTATCCACCTTTTTCTTCAACGCGGAAGTAAGCCTATGGGTGAGACTTCCGGTTCATTGGCTGCTATAGGGAAATAACGAGAAGAATAACAACGTGCAGTAAACGGTAAAACTGTTTGCACTACAAACCAGTGTGTTCATAATTAAGATAATACATTAAAATAATATGATAAGACACACCAATTTTCAATATCAAGCAGCAAAAGGAGCGGTTCTGTACAGATAAAAATAGCTGGACGCTGATGAGACTGGAAGCTAGACCCATATAATTTACAAATGGCCGCACCCATTTTTATGGCAAGAAAAAGGTGGATACGCATCATACAGTGCAGATTTCTAAGGAACAGTACATCCAAGGTAAAGTATGTGTGTAATCTGACACTCAAGTGTGTGTGTTTATAAAATATATATATAGATAGATATATAGATAAGCGATAAGCTACCCGTTGAAAGTTTGGAACCAATGCGATTTTGGACTTACTACTAGTCCAAGAATTCTGAAAAAAAAGTGTCTATAATGGTTTCCACAAAATATTAAGCAGCACAAATGCTTTCAAAATTGATAATAATAATAAAAAATGCTTCTTGAGCAGTGCACCAAATCAGCATTTTAGAATTATTTCTGAAAGGGCTTTATGCTTCCATTGCACATACTAATAGGCCTACAAGCTTTAATATATAGACATACCAAGTTTTACTGAGTTTTTTAAAAATCTGCATAACCCTTTACAAATCATATTTCACCCAAACTCCTTTGCTCTTTCTCTGTCAGACTGGTGCAATTACAATTGACCTATCGGTAAGCCCCGCCCCCCTTAGTTACTGTTGCTACCTCGGACAAACAAACGGAGTTGCTCACTAGCTGTGTCTCATTTAGAAGGCTGCGCCCTCCGGAGGTCGCATTCGAAGGCTGCATATGTCATCGAGGCTGTCTCATTTCAGAAAAGCAAGTAGGACACTCCGAATGCGACCTTCTTTCGCAGCAATTCGGAGGATGCATGAGGTGTATCCTTCGCTGCTACAGATAACCCACAATTCTTTGTAAACAACCATCGTTTTTGTCGCCGTAAACAACCATCGTTAATTTGAAAAATTAGAGCAACGACGCTCTAAATGTGTTGACATAGCAACGTGATACTTCCTGTTTCCTTTTCCGCCCATCCTACGAAGGCCGTCTCGTTTAATTCTAGGTTGAGGACACTCCGTATCCACCTTTTTCTTCAACGCGGAAGTAAGCCTATGGGTGAGACTTCCGGTTCATTGGCTGCTATAGGGAAATAACGAGAAGAATAACAACGTGCAGTAAACGGTAAAACTGTTTGCACTACAAACCAGTGTGTTCATAATTAAGATAATACATTAAAATAATATGATAAGACACACCAATTTTCAATATCAAGCAGCAAAAGGAGCGGTTCTGTACAGATAAAAATAGCTGGACGCTGATGAGACTGGAAGCTAGACCCATATAATTTACAAATGGCCGCACCCATTTTTATGGCAAGAAAAAGGTGGATACGCATCATACAGAGGATGCGACCTCCAGAGGATTCGACCTCCGGAGGGCGCAGCCTTATGAATGAGACGCAGCTATATAAAATATTTTAAAATAAATACAGTGGGTAACTCGAAGCAAGGGTTTACAGATCCCAATGCAAGTGGGAGAAGTCTCATATTACGGTCATCATGATCGCGGATGACAACATGCAGGATCAACAGTGTTCATTAGTACTGCAGAATACAATTAAATTAATGTACATTTAACCAGTTTAATATGGAGAGGCACTGAAATGTAGACCTTCGTTTGTGTTTTTGAGTTACACTGTACATGATGTGAGAACACATGACGTTAACTTTAACGTTAGCTAGTTTTAGCCAGAGATACCTTGCTGAAACACAAGATGACAATGTTCTGCTTGAGCAGATGAAAATTGTAACTTAATGAGTAGGGATGCGCCAATCCGATATTCATATCGAGTATCGGCTCCGATAGTGCCATTTTTCTCGGATCGGGTATCGGTCAGAGAGGGCCGATCCAAATCCGAGATTTAATTTTTTTTTTTTTTTAGATTGTGTGAATTATTCTGTGTTACTTCTGAAGCCATACGATAGCTTAATGTGAGCTACATATTAATATTTAAGTCCTTACATTAAAGTTCACACAAACTCTTTTCTCCACTGTGGCTGTCAGTCATTCGTTCAGCATTTAAACCCTGGTCGCGTTCGGTTACAGCAGTCAGTTCGGTAAAGCTCTCTCCAAGATCATTCTGTGTTCCCATTATACTTGATTTGTAAATACATGTCTATGATTTTGCAAAAAGGACTTTATCTTCTTGCCGGAGTTTAATGTTGTTTTGTTACTTGCTACCGGGTGTCCGTGAGAACAAAACACGGGTGTAGAAAAGACTATAAATTGTTTTTAACGTGCACAGTAACTGAAATTTAAAACTGTTAAAAGAAAGGCTCAATAACTGTTGCACAGATATAATACACTACACATAAATTTCTCTTCCCTTTGTGCGTTGCAGTTTTTAACATGAAGCGCTTACAATGTGCGCATCTGGTGTGCAGAATGATGCGCTTGAAGCAACACGGCGTCAGGCTGTGACGCCATGTTGCTTCAAGCGCATCATTCTGCACACCGGATGCACACATTGTAAGCGCTTTGTGCTCATAGACTGTATAAAAACAGTTTGTGCTGCACTGTATTTGTTTTGTCCTATCGTATCTATCATATGTTGTTGCCTTATTAAAAATATGCTATACATTTAAAAGAAGTGTATTTTAATTTTATAGTATATACTTATATATAAATACATTCATGAATGTTTTTAATTAATGGATTTTATAATACAAATAGCAATGTGTAACATTTTACCATATTTAGTGCAACACTTTTATTTGTTCCCCACAAAATAGTTTTTTCACTAAATGTTTGGATTTCTAAAATTATTGTGCACTGATTTTTTTAGAATAACACTTGCTGCCGAATTATCCACTAACCTAGTTTATGATACATTTTTGTCATAGATTATAAATATACATAGGCCTATAGTTTTTCATATTTATTGTTTATTTTATTTTTATTTTATAATGAAGTAGTCTGTATCTAGTAGATTGTGAAAGAATGATTATCAGTTCCACACAGAGATATATAAATTCTAAATTTATTTAAATGAGGGAAAAAAACTTCACTGGTATCGGCCAATACCAAACCCTAGGTATCGTATCGGAGGCGAAAAAGGCGGATCGGAGCATCCCTATTAATGTGTATGACAACCAGAAAAGGAGCGGTTTTGTCTTCATTGGGATTAAGGTTGAATGCTTAGGGGCATTTGAAAAAATTTAATAAAAAATAATCAAAAAATTTTTTCTTCATTACATCATATAGCCTAGATCTGATTTTTTTTTCTTCTGGAAACGGCCAGACTAGAATAGCAACACAGTAGCAAACAAGAAACGATATGGCAAGACAAAAATTAAATAAACCAAAGTTTGACCAATTAGAGTAACATTAGGCTAAAACATGTAAATATGATATCTGGATCATTGTCAGATGAGCCGTCAGATGCTGAGCCGACCCAGGACGCATAACTTACCATCAGACTCTCCATCACTCATGGCCTTTAGTGTTTCTAGCCTACCTACCTTCCATAAATCGCCTTTTTTGTCATTTTGACTTGATTTATGAAACTGATAACCGCTAAATCAGTGAGTGAAAGGCGTTGCCTAGAAATGTACAATGTTAAAACATAAGCAGCAATGAAATGACAGTGCAAAAATACATGCATTATATAGGTGGGTAAGCTTGACCTGCTGGCGCTTATAGGTATAAATGCCCTGTTTTTTTTATCTGGTTTTATCTAAATAATTTTAAACAACATTGGATTGTAAATTACATAATTTTAGTAAAAGTCAATGACTGGGAGACTTGAATGTGTTATTTTAAATATGTTATGTACATTTGAAAAACAGCCACGGGTAAAATTTACCCCATTCTAGTGTTAAATGCTACAAGTGAATTTAGGCACCACGACATTGATTGCTTTATTTGATTTTGGAGCTTAATTTGTTTTTATTATGTTTTAGTCAAGATTTAAAACAGAAATACTGTGATATTATATTGTAAATTGTGTAATACTGCTGAATCGGTAAGATTGTGTTTATTGTGATGTTATTGATGTTTGTGTTTATGTATAGGAAAGATCTCTGACGTAGTGACTGTCCACCCACGTGCCATGTTCATTCCACGAGAGGGTTGGACTTTCCTCTCTGCAGGTGAGTGTCTTTGAAAAGCAAAACTCTTTCCAAAACCTTTATTTGATGTGCCATTTTGTTTTTAGGGGTTTGTGCTGTGATGTGCACAGCACTAATGCTGTGTTTAGGACAGGTACTTGATGTGTCCTGTTTGTCTGGGTATGTGTTTGTTTGTTCTGACAGCACTGAGCGTGTGTCAGTGTGTTTTTATATAACGGTGTCACAGCAAGGACAGTGTAACCTGCAGCAGAAGAGGCCAACCTTCAGACCCCATGGCAATAGCATAATCACAGTGTTGGAAACAGCCTGTTCTGGCCCACAATCTCATCTGCTGGCCAGACAGCAAAGTTACACAAATCCCCTAAACTCTCTGTGTGTATGAGAGAGATTAGGCTAAAACATGTAAATATGATATCGGGATCATTGTCAGATGAGCCGTCAGATGCTGAGCCGACCCAGGACGCATAACTTACCATCAGACTCTCCATCACTCATGGCCTTTAGTGTTTCTAGCCTACCTACCTTCCATAAATCGCCTTTTTTGTCATTTTGACTTGATTTATGAAACTGATAACCGCTAAATCAGTGAGTGAAAGGCGTTGCCTAGAAATGTACAATGTTAAAACATAAGCAGCAATGAAATGACAGTGCAAAAATACATGCATTATATAGGTGGGTAAGCTTGACCTGCTGGCGCTTATAGGTATAAATGCCCTGTTTTTTTTATCTGGTTTTATCTAAATAATTTTAAACAACATTGGATTGTAAATTACATAATTTTAGTAAAAGTCAATGACTGGGAGACTTGAATGTGTTATTTTAAATATGTTATGTACATTTGAAAAACAGCCACGGGTAAAATTTACCCCATTCTAGTGTTAAATGCTACAAGTGAATTTAGGCACCACGACATTGATTGCTTTATTTGATTTTGGAGCTTAATTTGTTTTTATTATGTTTTAGTCAAGATTTAAAACAGAAATACTGTGATATTATATTGTAAATTGTGTAATACTGCTGAATCGGTAAGATTGTGTTTATTGTGATGTTATTGATGTTTGTGTTTATGTATAGGAAAGATCTCTGACGTAGTGACTGTCCACCCACGTGCCATGTTCATTCCACGAGAGGGTTGGACTTTCCTCTCTGCAGGTGAGTGTCTTTGAAAAGCAAAACTCTTTCCAAAACCTTTATTTGATGTGCCATTTTGTTTTTAGGGGTTTGTGCTGTGATGTGCACAGCACTAATGCTGTGTTTAGGACAGGTACTTGATGTGTCCTGTTTGTCTGGGTATGTGTTTGTTTGTTCTGACAGCACTGAGCGTGTGTCAGTGTGTTTTTATATAACGGTGTCACAGCAAGGACAGTGTAACCTGCAGCAGAAGAGGCCAACCTTCAGACCCCATGGCAATAGCATAATCACAGTGTTGGAAACAGCCTGTTCTGGCCCACAATCTCATCTGCTGGCCAGACAGCAAAGTTACACAAATCCCCTAAACTCTCTGTGTGTATGAGAGAGAGAGAGATGGAGATACAAGGAAGTAATGCGAGATCACTTAATAGTTTTTTGTCTCTTTGATATTCTTCAGCCTCAGGGGTACTCATTCATTGTATATGTTTGCTGACATGTGCATATTTAGTGTGTGTGTGCATGGGGGGTGGGTTCAGTAGCAGTGTGAGTTCCTGTCCCTGCGGTGGCCTTGTCACATCCAATTGTGCAGTGTGCGAAGGAGAACCGAGAGAGCCTAGAATGAGGACAAAGTCATCCCTCGTTCCCTGCTTGTCTGGTGGCCTCTAAAGCACAGACTGAACTCTATTTTATCCCCTGCATCTCTCCTGAAACCTCTCTCCTGAGCCTTCAGGTCAAACCATAATATTTCACTTTATCCTTTTATATCAGGGTCTTTTTAACTAAACCATCATTCCCACAAGGCCTTGCAACCTTTTTTCTTAATAGCTGCATCAGTCAATACCACCTTTCGATAATTTGTTTTTTCTGGAAGCCCTCTTTTCACTTCCTGAGGAGAGAGGTGAAGCAAACACTGAACTACAGAGCCACAGCATATTGAGGGTTTTTTGCCATTTTGTTTTAAGGTATTTAAAGATTTATTTATTTATTTATTTATTTACTTTTATGAAGGTAGAGTGAGAGGAGATGGAAAAAATGGGTGAAATTAAATGGAAACGGGATGGATTTCATATGAGAACCACAATTTAACTATGTGATAATTAAGATTTTTACATTTAAGCCTGTGCAATATGAAAACAAACTAGCTTAGACTCATCTTTATAAATTAATGTATTTGCTGGTTGCATTATTATTAAGTAATCAAATCAAATCAAAGTTTATTTATAGAGCACTTTTTTAAAACAATAATTATTCACCAAAGTGCTGTACAAGCATAATCAAAATAAAATAATCTTACACACCGCAAAAATAACAGATATTAACACTAACAAAATACATAAAACAGCTCTCATACGGAGTTAAATGCCAGAGAATAAAAATAAGTTTTAAGACTGGATTTAAAAACAGCAAGTGTTTGGGCCTGCCTAACATATAGAGGCAAGTTATTCCAAAGCTTTGGGGCTGCGACAGCAAAAGCCCGGTCACCCCCTGCTTTTCAGCCTTGTTCGAGGTACAACCAAGATTAAACAGTCAGCTGACCTAAGTGCTCTTGATGGACCATGTGGTTGTATTAAATCAGAAAGGTAACTTGGTGCCAGTCCATTGAATGACTTTTAAACTGGTGTCTAAAAAAATGACTAAAAAAATGACTAAAAAACTGTAGTTTAATGACTAAAAAAAAAGGTGTCATTTGTTTGTGCTTGCGCATCCCTGTTAAAGGGGTCATATGATGCTGCTAAAAAGAACATTATTTTGTGTATTTGGTGTAATGAAATGTGTTTATGCGGTTTATGGTTCAAAAAACACATACTGTACATTATTGTTTCTCCTCTATGCTCCGCCTTTCTGAAACGCGTAGATTTTTACAAAGCTCATCGTTCTAAAAAAGCGAGGTGCGCTGTGATTGGCCAGCTATCCCCTACCATACTGTGATGATGCCCTGTCGGGCCGGAGCGATGATCCAAAAACATGAAAACCCATTATAAACGAGGCATTCGTTGCGGGGGCGTGTTGGAACGAGCCGTTTTAGGTAGGCGTGGTTGACTCTTAACTTTTACAAAGAATATCTCTTTGGATTTGATACTTTAGTCTTTGCAACTTTACAGATCTTCTTTATGCACCAAGAGCTTGTAACACTCCAAAGAGAAAGGAAAAATTGAAATCGCATCATATGACCCCTGTAACAGACGAGTAGCAGCATTTTGTAACATCTGTAAACGCTTAAGGGGATGCCTGATTGATACCTACATAGAAGCCATTACAATAGTCAAGATGGGTCGAGATAAAAGCATGTATGACCCTTTCAAAATCATTAAAAGACAAAAAAGACTTGACTCTTGATAATTACCTTTACTGAAAAAAACTAGATTTAATTACTGAATTAATTTGTTTATCCAATTTAAAATCACTGTCCATTATAACACCCAGGTTTTTAACATTTGGCTTTACATATGATTTTATAACACTCAAATCTACATCAGGGGGGTCACAGGTGTTGTCAGGTCTAAATATCATGATTTCTGTTTTTTATTCATTGAACTTTAAAAAATGTAAAGCCATCCAGGCCCTAACCTCCTCAAGACAATCCAACAGTGGTGCTATAGAGTTTGCATCTTTCCGTTTCAAAGGGAGATAAAGTTGTGTATCGTCTGCATAACAATGAAATGAGATGCCGTATTTCCTAAAAATTAACCCTAACGGATGTAGATATAATGAAAATAAGATGGGTCCAAGAATGGAACCCTAAGGGACACTACACGAGAGAGATGCAGAGGATGACACAAAATCCCCAAGGCGGACTGAGAAACTTCTGTCAGACAAATAAGATCTAAACCACTCCAGAGCAGTTCCCCTAACTCCAACGCAGTGCTCCAACCGAGAAATCAGGATGTTATGGTCTACAGCAGTGTTTCCCAACCGGGGTGCCGTCTGTCGAGAGCAGGGGTGCCGTGTAAAAAATCCTTTTTTAATATTTTTAAATTGCTAAAATGTTCAAAAAAAGCATCTATTATATAATATCCATTTCTGATGTCACCAATAATTAGAGATGCACCGAAATTTCGGCTGCCGGCCGAAGTCATGTTTCACTTTAACGTGGTGTGACGCTCTGCGTATTATCCCGCTCTATGCGTGTGCGCTCTGGTCAGTCGCTCCACTCGTATACCGTTCATGCTCATCGGAACAGCAAAGTCCGCTCAAAAACTGAGCCGACAGGAAACATGGATGTAGTACAGTATTGTTTCTTTCTGCAATAGCCCTACTGTGTTGTAACATGGTGTGGTATATGGGCAACTCTGGTAACGCTGCCCTCTCATTCATTGATCTGCTAACCGCTATGTTATGCTCGCGTGTTCTGATAATAATAGCGTTCTAGGACTAAACATTATTTGGATAATTGGTAAAATTGGTAAAAAAATTGTAAATTTTTTTTAATTGGTAAAAAAATAAAATATTAATAATTAATCATAATTAGTTATGGTTAATTATTCATATTTCCTGTTGTGAGCTAAATTCGCTACAATTATTAATTTCTTTTTGTTCTTATTTTATTAGTGACTGCTTGCTTGTCATTTTTTTATTCAATTCAAAGTTTGAAATCAAGCTATCTCGTGCTACTGCACCAAAATTACCCCACTGTAAAATTAAAAAAAAAACAGTGAGCAACAATTTGTGAGATAGCTAGTTATAATGGTAATTAAATAATGTTTACATATGTATAATAGCCTACATTAAAATCTGTCATATAAATTGGTCTCTTCATTAGAAATTAGCCTACTGATTGCCACCATTGATGGACAACTTTTTTTAATAATATTAAAAATATCTGTATGACATTATATTCTGCAGTTCTTCCCTGTTGTACCGAATATCTTTACTTTTCAAATTATCATATCGAAGTTAGAAATTCAAATATTGTGACAATTTATTTTGTACGGTGCCACAAGTTTAAAATTTCCAAAGGATGCCACGATTAATAAAAGGTTGGGAAACACTGGTCTACAGTATCGAATGCAGCCGTAAGATCCAGGAGCTTGAGGACTGCATAATCACAATCAGTCAGTAGCTAGTAACAGGTCATTAAAAACTTTCAACAGGGCTGTTTCTGTGCTGTGGAGTGATTTAAAACCAGACTGAAACACTTCCTGCAAACCATGTTGACTTAAAAATGATTGCAATAATAAATTGAAGTAAAGTAAAGCTAAAGCTTAAATAGTAAATAATATAAGTAAAGCTTAAATAAAATAGTAAAGTAAAGCTGAAATAAAATTAAATATGAATATTAGATGTAAAACTTTATGGAAATATTGCCTTGGCAACTAATTGAAATAATATAAGTGCTACAATTACTAAAACTTAAATAATGATACTAAATTGATATAAAAAATAAATAAAAAAGGTCAAAAGAATGTAACAAAATATTAAAAATTTAAACTTACATTTTTAATTATAATAAAAATAAAAGCTAATTCAAAATAACAATAAATAAATAATACTAAAATAACAGTTTGTAATTTGTTTAGTTCAGATCAATTACATGTCTGGTCAAATCAATCGTACATTGAGCTTGCATCTGTGTGAACAGGGAAACACATCTATCTGGTATCTAATCACTCTGCTTATGAAGGTATCGATTTTGTATGCCTGTGTTTAGACCATCTTTTCATTTATAAACCAATGTGGGACTATTTTTGCACTAAGACCAGACTCGTATTAATATAGCCACTCTCTTCAGTATGTTCTCTGTCAGATCTTAATTTAGCTTGCTCTGAGTAAAGGAAACTTGTTCTTATAAGCCCAGATATCTAGTTTTGAACCATAGACAAAAATCTGCCACTAAAGGGTCATAAGAAATCTATGACTATTGGTGCTTGATTGGACTTTTGCTAATATTTAAGATTAAACCTTAGTGCATAATAACTCATCTTGAACCACTGATTGAACAGTGTGCTATTAATTTTCCAATCGATCTAAAGATAAAATGCGTAAAAACAAGAGCAAGCTTCTAGGAACCAGAATATCAAACTCTAGAGTTGCATTAGCACAATTTGGATTCATTTTGTGAGCGAAAAAAGGTTCATTGTCAATATCATAGCTTTCGGTTGGTTCTAATAGTGAATTCACACAACCAACCTGAACATGAGTGAAATCAATGTGAAATTTTTTGCCTTCACTTGAAATTCCTAATCATGTGGATTCCTGTATTGAAATAACTTGATTTCATTCACAAAATTTTGCTGAGCAGTGGTCAGTAGGATTCTTAACATTTATTCATTGATTAACACTGATTAACAAATTAACATTGTGAGAATTTTACGCAGGCATGGTCCACTCACATTTTCTTCTGAAAAAGTAAAATCTAGTTTGTTCCTTGTTTGAGAAGTGAGGTTTTAATTAGAAATGCACAAAACCAAACAGTAATTGTAAGTCGATATTTGCGCAGTACTTGGACAGTCTGTTCCTTTAACTGTTTTGTATGACTTCATGCATTACATACACATGTTTATCTTCAACCTTCATTGGCATTATTCTGAGAACTGAGCTAAAAAGTTATCACGACACAAGGTCATTGACATTTAACAAGCTGCTAGAAAAACGGGAATCTAGCCCAGGAATAGACTTAAGACAAACTGCCTTAAGAAGCTGTATAGGGAATTCAGTTATGGTGATATGGGTCTGTACTTTAGGCATATTAGAATAATCTTAACTTAAATGGTTGCTATTGTGTTTCTAGCCATCATGATACTGGAAACGGTTGACAGTAGCTCATTTAAAGAAGCTCATTTAGAGAATACATTTTGATGTAGTTCAATCCAAAGTGGACATCTGATCTTCATAGAAACATTATTAATATTAAACTAAAATATCTAAATAAATTAAAATCTTAAATTATTAATATGGTCTTCTTATTCAACTGGTTTAGGTGAAAAAATTGTTTTAAAAATGAAATGCATCTTAACTGAAGAGCTCTATTGCCATCTTCATTGTCCGTTCAAACCCTCAACTGATACTGAACAATTTAGATCAGATTAATTTACACTTGAGCTGCTGCTTCCGCCAAAGATAAGCCATTTCCTCTCCCTCCTTCCCTGAAACTGGTCTTGTACACACACACACACACACACACACACCAACACATCAATAAAGGGCATTAACAACCACATAACTTGTTCTCTTCTCAGGACCTCTCTCTCTCTCTCTGTTTACCTTATCAAATAATGTTCAGAATACTCTGGAATGGCTTGATATGCCAGTTAATATAACATTTATGCACACAATTGATCTCATAGTGTACATACAGGATGATGCTGAGTCAGCGCTCTGACAGTCACTGCAGTATACACTCTCTCTCTCTCTTTCTCACACACACACACAGTCTGTATTGCAATGTGAACTTATCCTCACACATTTGTTTTTATCTGTCAGAAAAGCTGCTGGGTGCATTACTGTTCCTGCTGACACAGATGGGAGAGATGCCAGCACACACACACCACTCACTGTCATCTTCCCCTTTTATCTTTTTATTAGGAAGGGGAGTTATGAAAAGTTGTGGTTGAAGATTATATTGGGAAGAGGTCATTATGACATCTGAATCTGTGTGTGTGTGTGTTCAGATTTCTGTCAGGTGGAGCTGCGTCTCTTGGCTCACCTATCAGCTGACCCACAGCTGCTGAGAATCTTTCAGAACACTGAAGCAGACGCCTTCACCATGCTGGCAGCTCAGTGGTGGGTACACACTCCCATATGTTAGTGTATATAATGCACACATACAGAACACATTTTTGGTTTTGTTTTGCTTTTTTTAAGCATGCGTGTTTTCAATGTGGCCCAAAGTTTGGGGTCAGTAAGTTTTTCTTTTTTTCTTTTTTTTTCTTTTAAAGAATAAATGCATTTATTCATGGATGCGTTACATTGATCAAAAGTGACAGTAAATTGTACTAAATACATTTATAATGTTGCAAAAAATGTATGTCTGTATGTATTTGTCATGTGACACTGAAGACTGGAATAATGACTGCTAAAAAATTAAGCTATGCCATCACAGGAATAAATAACATTTAAAAATATATTAAAATAGAAAACTGTTATTTTAAATTGTAATAATATTTCACAATGTTACATGAATTTTTGCAGCCTCGGTGAACATAAGACACTTCTTTCAAAAATATCTTACCAACCCCAAACATTGGAATGATTGTGTACACCTGTACTGATCTGGTCATGAGAAAGGGACAGTATGTTGTGTCCAGGAAACGGTTACTTTAAACGCTTGTTTTGCTATGGCAGCAGAGGCATCATGAGTGTTTTGCTGACAGGTCCCCTTAGTGTATTTGCACTAATAAACTCATTATGGTTTTAAACCATTAGAAATGATGATCCCACTGTCATACAGCTCATAATGAGCAGTTTAGAGAAGTCTAAAATTAAACACCTCTGCCTTTTTTAGCAATAGCATTTTTTGTAAATGAAACAATTTGTTCATATTGTATATTGCTATCTTTATTTTTAATACTATTTTATTTCATTGAAACCCTTTCAGTGTGTGTGTGTGTACCTGGTATTTATCACATTATGGGGACCAAATGTCCCCACAAAAATAGTAATACCAGTAAATTTTGACCTTGTGGGGACATTTTTTTAGGTCCCCATGAGGAAACAAACTTATAAATCATACAGAATTAAGTTTTTTGAACATCTAAAAATGCAGAAAGTTTCTCATGAGGGGTAGTTTTAAGTGTAGGGTGATAGAAAATAGTTTGTACAGTATAAAAACCATTATGCTTATGGAATGTCCCCATAAAATATGGAAACACAATGTGTGTGTGTGGATGCCGAACAATTAAAAAGTGTTCATTTTTGTGAAGTCTCTAGTAGTTAGTAGAGACTTCATATTTGTGTTTTTTAAAAACAATCCAACAAAGTGTAATGTTCATACTTTGGGTAATAGGTTAAGAAGTCACAGAGTTGACCAAAAGGAGTTTAAAGAATGCTAGATGTTCTATTTGTCACACAAGCAAAAGTGTCCACAGTGTCCTGCAGTACCAGTCAGTGTGTTTCACCCTGAGGCTGTGAGTCAACCAGACAGACAGCAAGACAGAGAAATGATCGAGAGTAATGACAGACGATCTGTCTGATGCTCACATCTCCACAGTTACTGTAGCGCGCGGTGACAGGCCTGTCCAGACAAAGTGTGATTTGATTGCTGACATGAGCCCAGTTTGTGTGTGAGGATGGATATGTGCCTCGCTTTCTAATGACCACAGATCATCACAGCATTGCTGTTAGTATATTCCTTCTTTTGTGTGTGTGTGTGTGTGTTGCTCACCCAAAAGAGCTGAGATTTGAAGTGTGAGTGCTGACCCAACACTGGCCGCTGCTCTAATGCAGTAAGACATCTGCTGGGCAACCTCTGATTCCCTGTCACTTTGCAAACACTGATGCCTCCAGCATACCAGCAATACTAGCACTTTCATTACATAAATGTCTCTGTCTTTGTCTTTAGGAAGGGTGTGAGTGAGGACAGAGTAAGTGTGGAGGACAGAGAGCATGCCAAGCGTATCGTCTACTCTGTGGTTTATGGAGCTGGTGAGAACTGTTACATGCACACCATCACTTCAATCTACAGGAAGTTCAGAACATGACATTATTTATCATGAATTTTACCATGCATTTATAGGTGCTGTTTTGGTAACTTAAAGGGGGTCATATGATGCGATTTCAATTTTTCCTTTCTCTTTGGAGTGTTACAAGCTCTTGGTGCATAAAGAAGATCTGTAAAGTTGCAAGACTAAAGTCTCAAATCCAAAGAGATATTCTTTATAAAAGTTACGAGTCAACCACGCCTGCCTAAAATGGCTTGCTCTAACATGCCCCCACATGTCTACGTCACGATGTGGGAAGATTTGCATAGAAAGAAGGCGTAACTTTTATTCTCTCTGTAGTATTGTTGCTGCCGCCGCCATGTCGTGAAGGCGCTGTGTGTTTCGTTGTGAAAGCGAAACTACTTTGTTTGAGGATAATATCCGCTTCGTCATGCCTAGAGCTGATACGTGCTGGTCGCTGAGGAAAAACATCAACTTCGCGCTGTGGATCGCTGGATCGGCTTTCACCGTGGACGAAGCGGAGTCCAGCCCGGGGTTGTTACATGTGGTAGCCGCAAGCCCGCCGGACGCTCCTTCGTCGATTCTGCCGGCCGCGCCGTTCTCTAGCCCGCCGGCCGTTCCTCACTCTAGCCCGCCGTCCGCCGCTCACTCAGGCCCGCCATGTGTGACGCTGTGTGTTTCGTTGTGAAAGCAAAACTACTTTGTTTGGCCTTCCAAAGAGGACATGACTAGAAATCAGTGGTTAAGTTGTATTTACAACACTGGTCCAGAACACTTCAACCCAAATATTCAGATGTGTGCAGCGCATTTTATGGAGGACTGTTTCCTGATCCTGGTAGAGTAGACTACAATGCCGGCTGTTCTGACTCACAGACTGTAAGTACGTTTTCATATTTACAGGATTTGCCACTGACGATTCAAACGCGAGTTTTGAGCAGTGTAGAGTAGCGTTTGTTTTTTGTCATTTCTCCGATCACAAATGCAGACATGGTTTTATGTTTATGCAGCATGATGCAATGCGTAAAAAGACAATACAAGTCATTATAATCCCTAATTATGTCCCCACTGGATGCAACAAATGCCTCGTTTATAATGGGTTTTAATGTTTTTGTCTCATCGCTCCGGCCTGACAGGGCATCACAGTATGGTAGGGGCGTAACATTTCCGTCACACACTTGAGGTATTCGGCCAATCATAACGCACTGGATAGCTGGCCAATCACAGCACACCTCGCTTTTCAGATCGATGAGCTTTGTAAAAATCGACGTGTTTCAGAAAGGTGGGGCATAGAGGAGAAACAATGTACATTATGTGGAAAATGTGTTTTTTTTTTAACCTTAAGCCGCATAAACATTTCATTACACCAAATGCACAAAATAATGTTCTTTTTAGCAGCATCATATGACCCCTTTAAACCACACAGCTTCTCTTCAGTGCCTATTGCACGCAGTACCATGAAGTGCTGCATGCTGGCATCTTTGCTCATGGGCGCTCCCCTGAACCGTAAATACCATGTTACTAATTACTGTAGAGCAGCAAGAAAATTACATCCTGACAGCGCTGACAGGGTGATGGCACACAGGAATGTCTACAGTCGAAAGGCCATTACTAGCAACATTTCTTTAGGCACATAAAATGTGAATTCAAAAGCAGCACACGGGCTGCTATGATGCGATTTCAAGTTTTCCTTTCTCTTTGGAGTGTTACAAGCTGATTGTGCATAGATACGATCCCTGAAGTTGCAAAGACTAAAGTCTCAAAACCAAAGAGATATTTTTTATCAAAGTTAAGACTCTGCCACGCCCCCCTAAAATGGCTCGTTCTAACACGCCCCCACATATCTATCTCACTATGGGGAAATATTTGCGTAATGCCGCCCAAATGTGCACGCAAAGAAAGAAGGCATGGTTTCAGTAACCGCAGTTAGTGTTGAAGCAGCCATGTCAGGGAGACTCTGTGTTTCTAGGTGAAAGCAAAAGCACTTTATTTGGCCTTCCGAAAGTAGATGCATTTAGGAATCTTTAAGATCACTTACAACAGAGCAGCAATGCATTTTATGGACGACCGTTTCGTGAACCTAGGAGAGGAGGTAATTCTGACTTTGCTATGACAATCTGGCGCTTCTGAATCAGCTACTGTTTTGTTATTAATTTAAGTACTTGCTATTGACTGTTCAAATGCGGAGTTTTGCGCATTATGTGTGTGTGTGTGTGTGTGCGCGAGCAAGAAAGAGGGAGGGAGGGAGAGAGAGAGAGACAGGGTCACATCACAGTGGAGTCAGCTGTCTTAACCGTGGCTTGTGTACTGCAAACACATACCAGCTTCATCACTGTCTGTCACGCGACTCTGTTCCCCCTTTCGGGCTTGAACTGATGGTAAAACTAATGACATTATTTACTGTCTTTACATTTATGTTGAAAGATGAAGCTCGCAATTATGGTAAGGGGTGTTACATTTCCGACGAGTGCTTGCGGTGTTCAGCCATTCACAATGCACTGGGTCAGCTGGCCAATCAGAGCAGTCTGCTCTTGTCGGAAGGAGGGACTTTGTAGAAAACGAAGCGTTTGAGAGAGGCAGGGCATAGAGGACCTACAATAATGTACAGTATTTGAAAAATAATGTGTTTTTTGAACATTAAAGCATGTCAACATATTCCGTTACACCAAATACACAAAATAATGATCTTTAAAAAAGCATCATATGACCCCTTTAAGGCCTATTAAGTTAAATATAACTGTTTATATGAAATAAAAACCTTTTGTAAGATTATAAATGGCTTTACTATTACTTTTAATCAGTGCCTTACCGGTATCCTTAAAAAAAACTGTGGACATTTTGAATTTGGAAACTAAGTTATTTATTTTTCTAATTTAAAATTCACTGACCCCAAACTTTTGAATTCTAGTGTACCCTTTTAATAAAAACTGGGAACATTTTCAATTTGGAAAGCTTTGAATTTAAACGAGAGAAGAAGAAAAAAACAGGCAAAAATATTTGATGAATATTTGAAAACACAATTGACTGCTTAATTTTTTTATAAACTATCCATATTCATATTTGTATGGATGATTGTGGCATAAGCAAAGCAGAGATACATAAATGTATTTATTTTTTGAATGAAAGAGATGGACATTGGTACAAATAGAAAGAAATAAAGAGAAAAGTTATGTCCCAGACTGGAGGGCTTTGCTCTATGAGTCAAGTGCAGAGAGCCTTATTGTTCATAGTGGTTGCTAACAGAGATCTCCCAGAATGTAGCCTCCATGACTACAACCTTACTAGAGAAGAATCTTATGTGTGTGTGTGTGTGTGTGGAGGCACTGAAGGAGGGTGTCACTGTTCTACTTTACTTTAACTGGGTCAGCTTGAATGTTTCTCTGTCGTTTTTTTTCTCTCATTTATATTTTTCAGTCCAGCATCTCACAAGTGGCTCACCAAAATGTGTTTGTGCACTGAAGTTGATGAATACAGAAAAATACATTTATTGCACTCTTACAAAGGCATACGGCTTGTTGCCCCAGAACGAAACATTTTAATTTTGACCATAATGTCATCTCAGGAAATCAGAGAAAGAGAGTGACGGTGTGAGGAAGGGAATAATGAGTGACTGAGTGCTGGTAGAAAGTGAGTGAGAGAAAGAGGGGGTGAGAGCGCTACAGTGTCTCATTTTGTCTCTCATAGTTGAGGTATACCTATGATGAAAATTACAGGCCTCTCTCATCTTTAAGTGGGAGAACTTGCACAATTGGTGGCTGACTAAATACTTTTTTTCCCCACTGTATGTTGATAATCTTGCAGAAAGCAAAGGATTGCCGTGGTTACCGAATTAATACTAAAAGGAGGTGTAGCATAGAAGACAATCAAAAACACATACACACACACTCATAGGCGAGGTGGAGGGGTGGACACACACAAGTGGGTCAGAATATGAGAGACTAACTATTGAGTATCCCATAGAGAAGGATGGTTTAGAGATGGAGTAATTAGGCAAAAGGAGGGGCACTAGAGATCAAATGATCTCAACCAGTGAGAATGCACAACGACGCACTCTTGATCACTTCTGCGTGCCTGCTGCTGCCTTCATCTCCCTGCTCGTAAACTTCATATAGTCATCTCTCTCTGTCTAGAAATAATGTCAATTACAAGCAGACAGAAGGTCAGATAAAAATCCTGGTATATGAACTTTGTCCTGCTTTATTCAACAGGTCACTGTGCGTAAACTAAAGCAAGTAGCATGGGTTATGTCATGTGACTAGTTGTTACTCTGTAGTTGGACTGATGAGAAATTCTTTCAGTGGAGTATTGCATACTTTCTAATGCAAGTTGTTAGTAGCTACACTACATCTGATGCCAGTATTTCCTAGGTATTCATTAGTGCTGCTTGCAAAGCATTACTGGTGTTGTTAACACTATAATTAGGGTTAGGGATCTGAACTAACCATTAGACCTAAGAATAAACTCTTACTACATGCATCTTATTTGTGCTATGGACATGATGATACTTCAAATCGTGTGGCTTAAGGTGAGGTGTGCTATTAATTTTATACATCAGAGTTATTATTTTTGCCTGGTGGATGATAAAAAAATGGTAACAAAACAACAACACTTAATAGTAAAACAGTTGTGAGATATTACATTTTAAAATAACTGTTTTCTATTTATTAATATATTTATAAATGTAATTTATTCCTGTGATGGCAAGGCAGAATTTTCAACAGCCATTACTTCAGTCTTCAGTGTCATGTGATCCTTCATTCAAAAATGTCTTTAATAATTTACACAACCAATCATTTCATTTGTGTATGAATTTCATTCTTCTGTTGAACACAAAAGAAAATATTTGGAAGAATGTTAACCAAACAGTTGACAATATTGTGTATGATATTTTACATTAGCAATATCAGTAGAGACAAAAAATAAGCGCTCCCATAATATCTTGTGTTTATTTCATCACATTTGTTGTCATGGTAGTTGTCGACTTGTCGTCATAGCAACATTGGGAGAATGGGGTGCTCAGTTTAGCCTATTTCTCAAAATCATTGTGTGCTTCATCTCACCTCATTTTGTCTTTTTTGTCTCACCTTGAACTGTTTTAAGCATGGAATATTTCTGTTCTCAGTTGCTTTTGTCCACTGACTTTCTCTCTCTCCTTCTTTCTCGACACCCTGACACACAGGAAGAGAGCGGTTGTCTTGTATTCTGGGTGTGAGTACAGAGGAGGCCAGTCGTTTTCAGGACACTTTCCTACAGACGTACAGAGAGGTGCCGGCCTTCATCCAGCACACCATCCAGAACTGCCACATACACGGTGTGTGTGAGATAAACACAGAGTAGAGTTGAAAAAAACTAAGCAGACACTTTCACAAAACTCACTCACTTCACAGTTCAGTGTGTATATAGAGCTGCCGTTAGGCCACACTTTCACTGATATTACACACATCATAGTTTTTACACCATGGTGTGAACTTAAGTCACACACACTCATTCTTTCACTTCTCCTGCTGTGACTCAAATAGTTACATTTTCTGCTGCCATTATATTCTATCTAGTTTCATCTCAGTGTTGCTTTAAAATATCAAATGCACAGTTTACTGGTTTTACTATTATTATAAAGTATGAAGTATACATTTTGTTTGGTGTGCTGTATTGGCATGAGAAATATCAATGCAATGTATGGCGAAACAAAATAAAGAACAATGCAAGGTAGCTAAATAAAAGGTGACATAAAATACTAAAGGGGTCATATGATGTTGCTAAAAAGAACATTATGTTGTGTATTTGGTGTAATGAAATGTTTATGCGGATTAAGGTTTAAATAACATTATTTTCCACATACTGTACATTATTGTTGCTCCTCTATGCCCCGCCTTTCTGAAACGTGTCGATTTTTTACAAAGCTCATCGTTCTGAAAAGCGAGGTGTACGCTGATTGGCCAGCTATCCGCAAGGTAGCTAAATAAAAGGTGACATAAAATACTAAAGGGGTCATATGATGTTGCTAAAAAGAACATTATGTTGTGTATTTGGTGTAATGAAATGTTTATGCGGATTAAGGTTTAAATAACATTATTTTCCACATACTGTACATTATTGTTGCTCCTCTATGCCCCGCCTTTCTGAAACGTGTCGATTTTTTACAAAGCTCATCGTTCTGAAAAGCGAGGTGTACGCTGATTGGCCAGCTATCCAGTGCGTTGTGATTGGCTGAATAACTCAAGCGTGTGACGGAAATGACGTGAATATTGAGGAAACGATAGATGGTTTTCATGCTGAAGTAAAGTAAAAGACCGCTTCTTAAACCAAAGGTGAACATGTTGGTATTCTTGTGGGGGGGAAAAAACATGCAAGCACTGTCACCGACAGCAAGTTTAGTTTTACTTTTCTTTTTGTTTTAATTTTGAAAAGCTTGTTATCTTTGCTGTTTACCTCACGTTATGCTATGGAGGCTCTCTTTTTTTATTTATTTGATTCCTCAGTGTTTGCTAAACGTTCTGTAATTTATTAGTCGGTATATAATACAGCATGTGGTGTATGCCATGCCTCGTCTTATTCGTTTTTGTTAATAAACGTTTTGTAAGCTAGTTTGTCATTGAATCCTACTGTTTTATTGTTGTTATGCTTTTTAATTAAGAATAACAATGAATCCATCATTTGTTTTAGTCTTAAAAAGTGAAATATGTATAGATGTATGTAAGCAAATCAGACAATTATCTTTTCTTGTAAATCGTGACACCAATATCGCAAATTCGAAAGTGAAAGCATCCGAAGCCCGGCTTATAATATAGCTAAAGAGAAATTCCCTGTTCACAAAATTCAAATCACAAATAATACTGATGAAAAAGAAGGGGTTGAATGTTAACCACTTTCGTTTTCATATAACTATAAACTATGATAAAAGTTCATCAGCATGCATTGATTAATCCCTAAAAATAAAAATATTGCGACCAAATCATGCACAGTTTTATTACATTAGATATTTGAACATGCTATTAGATAAACTGTTGTTAGTCATGTTGTCATTTAAAATCCGGACATCATTGGCAATGTTATTGTTTTAGTTAAGCTAACAAAAACTCATTTTATTTGTTGTTTGCTGATTTTAAATTTAAAACTTGGTGAAATGATTTGTGTGTCAGTACTTTTTGAACATTTCCAGCACATGTTAACAATACCGTGATAATACTGATAACCATGATCATTTTGGTCACTATAATCATCATAAGAAATTTTCATACTGTTACATCCCTAATTAATGACTTATACTGTGTTTTTACGCGTTGCGTTGTGTATCGCGCCGCGTAAACATAAAACCATGTCTGCATTGTGATCGGAGAAACGACAAACAACAAGCGCTATTTGCGTTTGAATCATCAGTGGCAAATTCTTTAAATATAAAAAATTTACTTACAGGCTGTGAGTCAGAAGCGCCAGACTGTCCTTGCAAAGTTGGAACTGCCCCACTTTATAGAACAGCCTTTGAGCACAAGACCCATTGTATGCTACTCTGCAGGTTCAGGAAACCAGTCTTCCATAAAATGCGTCACACAGCATCACACACGACGGGCTTGAGTGAGCGGAGGCTGGCAGCCTTGAGAATGGCACAGCCGGCGGATTCGACGAAGGAACGGCCGGCGTGCGTGCGGCAACCACATGTGACGACCCCGGGCTGGACTCCACTTCGTCCACAGTGAAAGCCGATCCGGCGATCCACAGTGCGAAGTTGATGTATTTCCTCAGCAACCAGCACAGATCAGCTCTAGGAATGACAAAGCAGATATCGTCATCTTTTGGAAGGCCAAACAAAGAAGTTTTGTTTTCACAACTAAACACACAGCATCTCCACAACATGGCGCCGGCGGCAACAACAATACTACAGCGAGAATAAAAGGGGTCATATGATGCGATTTCAAGTTTTCCTTTCTCTTTGGAGCGTTACAAGCTGATTGTGCATAGATAAGATCCCTGAAGTTGCAAAGACTAAAGTCTCAAAACCAAAGAGATATTCTTTATCAAAGTTAAGACTCTGCCACGCCCCCCTAAAATGGCTCGTTCTAACACGCCCCCACATATCTACCTCACTATGTGGAAATATTTGCATAATACCGCCCAAATGTGCATGCAAAGAAAGAAGGCGTGGTTTCAGTAACCGCAGTTAGTGTTGAAGCAGCCATGTCAGGGAGACGCTGTGTGTTTCTAGGCAAAAGCACTTTATTTGGCCTTCCGAAAGTAGATGCATTTAGGAATCTTTAAGATTACTTACAACAGAACAGCAATGCATTTTATGGACGACCGTTTCGTGAAGCTAGGAGAGGAGGTAATTTTGACTTTGCTATGACATTATTGTTGCTCCTCTATGCCCCGCCTTTCTGAAACGCGTTGATTTTTTACAAAGCTCATCTTTCTGAAAAGCGAGGTGTACGCTGATTGACCAGCTATCCAGTGCGTTGTGATTGGCTGAATACCTCAAGCGTGTGACGGAAATGACGCGGATATTGAAGTAAAGTAAAAGCTTCTTTTGTTTTTTCTTTTTTTTTGCATGTGTTTCTCATTTTATGGACGACCGTTTCATGAACCTAGGAGAGGAGGTTATTCTGACTTTGC